GTGGTTCTACAGAAGGATGCTGAGAATACCAAGGACTGAACACATGGGCAACGACGGCGTTTGAGAGAAGATGGAAACAAAAAGGATACTTATACGTCGCATAAGAAAGAGAGAGTTAAAATTTCTAATAATGAGGAAAGAAGACTTACATATAAGTGTATTCTCTTTTACAATAAACCTCTTTCTTTCGTCTACGCGCGTGTTGCTGTTCCTTCACTCGAGTACCACCTTTGTCTGTAACGTCTTTAAGTTAGATGGTCGTTGACCGAAAAAGAAGGTCCTTCCGCGCTTTGACAGGTTGTTTTAATTTTGCTGGATGTCTAGCTTTTCACTATAAAATCACGATGGAAGAATTTTTTTAGTACCCAATAACACGACTATGCAGCAGTTAGCACTGGCTTACATGGCACCAGTATCACTCATATAGATTGACCTGATTATATATATATATATATATATATATATATATATATATATATATATATATATATATATATACATTTTCCCTCAGCGGTAGTACAACGTTATATTCTATAGAAGTACCCACGTCATTCTACACGTACGCACATACGCACAGGCGGGCGTATGAGTTCACCCACGCACGAACGCGCGTGCGCGCGCACACACACACACACACACACACACACACACACACACACACACACACACACACACACACACACACACACACGCACACTATGAAAAATGCATGTATAAAAGAAAAAAACGAGAAATATAAACAGTCAATTGCTGATACCCCTGACGAGTGGACAGAGTGATTGCTGGAGGGTCCATTTACGAAACTCTGGAGTCGGGATGTTGTAGGCAACACTAATCAGCAACGTGACAAATTTTATGTATTAATTCTCTCTCCCTTTCTCTCTCTCTCACACTCTCTCTTTCTATATATATATTTGTCAAATTTGTCGATATATATATATATATATATATATATATATATATATAAAACATCGCACATTGTGTGCTAGTGTTAATAAAATAGTGCTCGATGCATAATAATAGATATATAATTTATGTCAATAATAAATATCCTTTTTTTGTCTCACACCTGTAGCACAACTCAGAGTTCCATGCACAACACATGTCAGATGCGAACTGAAAAACAATCGCCACCTGACGATTGAATTGTGCATGAAAATCAGAGTTTGTTCTACCGGTTAGAAAAATGTATATATTTATTACACACACACACACACACACACACACACACACACACACACACATATATATATATATATATATATATATATATATATATATATATATATATATAGTACAGGTAATCGATCTGTTGGGATATAATCCGGGTGGATCCTAGTAATATTAATTATTAAAAATGATTCAGAGAGAGCTCGATGTATTTATTATTACAGAGTATATGCATTTTTTTTTATAGCAAAACAAAACAAAACCTAGACTCAGGGGCTGATGATAGCTGCGTACAGACCAGGTTGAAATAGACTATTGCCATGTTGAGGTAACTGCTATTTTTTTTGTTGTATCTGTCTATCTATCTATCTATCTATCTATCTATCTATATATATATATATATATATATATATATATATATATATATATTGATATTTGTACCCAATACTCGATAACTTTTTAACACATAGATAAGGAGAGAAGGGACAGATTCATATCTTTCCCAATGCATTTGCGTGACAGCGAACGCAGCAGGCTCGATCGGAATTTGAACTCGGATCGATGTTTCCACCCACAACGCTGATATCCGTTGTTCGCTCTGAAATATCTCGGAAAATTTGTGCAGATATCAAGAGCTATAATGTCGGACGATATTTTTTTTATTTCTTGCTGAGAATTTCACATATTTTTGGGCATTATTATTTTCTTTTCTTTTTAGGAAGTCATTTTAAGTTTTAATTTCCCCAAATGAACACACATACATACGCACACATATAGTAACACACACAAACAATATGTAGAAAGAAAAAATATATTGAATACCGTTGTATAAAAAGGAAAAGGAAATATCCGCTTATTATGATTCCTGGTGTATGTGTATGGGTAAAGGCAAACGGGCACCAGCCACATATACACACAATTGCACACATACACACATTTAATAGGCACCCTAACACACACACAGCCACAGATATCCAAATGTCCCTCACAGATAGAGAAGTACTTACAAAAACATGCATATAGCTAGACGCGCACGTCCACACCTATACACATTCGTACGCGAACACACATCCACACACATACGTACACAGCCGCGCATCCATGTCCACAGCCACACCTACTCACGCTAACACCCATATACATACATAATATACCCACACATGAACGCGAACATACATCCACACACGTAAACTAGCACCCACACAACCATCTCTAGACATGCACATACCCATATACACATTAGGTCACATATTCACATACGTACATACCATCTACACACACAGACACACATCTGCATGCGCACACACCCATATACATATGACCCACATACACATGAGAACATACATTCGCATACGTATACACGCAGCCACACACATCCATACCTATATACGCACATACTGATATATATATATATATATATATATATATATATATATATATACAATGTAACCCGGATATAAGAGAGTTGTCAGGACCGGAAGAAGTCTCTTATATCCGGGTTTCTTTATATCCGGGTTTGGTCTATTTATATACATTAACACAGGCTCTAATTTGGGACCAGAAAATCTCTCTTATATCCGGGTTTCTCTTATATCCGAGTGCCTTATATCCAGGTTACTATATATATATATATATATATATATATATATATATATATATATATATATATACACACACACACATACATACACAAAAGTGAAACACATGCGCATACATGCACACGCAGCCAAACCTCTGCATGTACACTCACATCTACACTTACATACGCACATACACATCCACACCTATATACGCATCTATATGCATACATATATGCACCCATACACACAAACACAGAGAATAGGCTTATAATTAGCAGTCATGAATAAATCCCTTAACAGAATCTTGTTTATGTGCCGTGTCCCTTAGTGACGTAGACGATCATGACTCCCCACAATTTCCTGTCTTTGTAACTCATAACAAATGTTAACTTTTCGTTATTTTCACCCAAACCCTGTCCCGCCATACATTTATTCAAGCTCATCAAGATTGTTAGTTATGCGCTGTTTTCCTCTGTACATCTTTCCCTCAGTCTGTCCTGTGAACATCAGATTTTCCAAGCCCTTCTCATTAGGCACGCAAAAAGAAAAAAAAAAAAAAAAAAGAAAAAAAAAGCGTACAAGCATTTTATAAAAGAACACAAACTCCACCTAATGACACACGAACACACACACATTCATTCATTGCTGTTGCTGTAGTGGAATGTAAACGTGTTAACACAGGAACACAAACACATATATGTATTGTTTACAAGTTTAATACTCATTTGAACGTAATTACGTCCACATCCGCATATATATATATATATATATATATATATATATATATATATATATGTGTGTGTGTGTGTCTGTGTGTCTGTGTGTTTGTGTGCGTGTGTATGTGCTTGTGTGTGTGTGTGCGCGCGCAATCCAAAGTATCGATGAAAAATTAGCATACCATGATGAAAAATGCTTCAAATGTAATAAGACAATTTTATCGTCAAGATGTTTTATTTTATGAAGATCATTAAAAGGAACAAATTAATATTTTTAAGAGGAACAAAATCAAAGGATTTTTGATTATTAAATTATGTTTTTTAGTCCTTTTTAGAAGCTTCAAAATTTCGGTTCAATTTTTTGGCGTCAGCGAATGACCATAAATTAGCAAATGAAAATTTTTGCATCTTTTTGCGGCGAAACACACATTGATTTGAAATTCTTGCCAAAATCAAATATTTCTTGGATTTTAAGGAAATTTTCACCACTAATTCACAAATGAAAGAAATTATTTTAGAAACGTTTTTTTATATAAAATCTTGGTAGAAATAATTTTATATCTATTACTTTCACTTATTTAATTTTATGAATATTCTATAAATTAATTTTTATACGTTAATGTTTATATTAGTTATAAGCAGAAGGGCTTGGGAATTTTATATATATATATATATATATATATATATATATATATATATATATATATATATATATATATTTCTAAAGAATGAATTTATTTTTAATCCGAATTTTTATTAATTCAAAGATTATTATAGTGCCCACTTTGTATTTCAAATAGACGCTCATTTTTATTTTTAAATTCTGTCCATGACATCTGTCGGCCTGCGCTGTGTGAAATTGTAGTAAAGAAAATGCCGATAGACGTAATAAACACTGTTTAATAAAAAGAAATGAGACGTCTATTTAAAATGCGAAGATCCATGTATATATCTATCGGCCCGCGTACTCGATAAAATTTAATGAACGGAATATATCGCATATATATATATATACAGGGCGCATATATATATATATATATATATATAACAATTACACCACGTCGAGGTGATACACACACACACACACATATATATATATATATATATATATATATATATATATATATATATATATATATATATATATATATATATATATATATATATATATATATATATATATATATATATATATATATATATATATATATATATATATATATATATATATATATGTGGTGTAATTGTTACAAAGCTTATCTTACTAGATAAGTTACGACTGAGTAGTGAGTTCGATCCTCACTGGGCGCTTCCATACTTTCGGCCTTGTGCCACATCTAAGCTGAGCTTATGGCTATTAATTTATGAAAGTGCATTCAACACGAACCACGCGTACACACATCCATCTACTCACTCCCCCCCTCTCTCTCACACACACACACACACATATATATATTGTTTCAAATTTTCAATATTTATGGGGGGTGGAAGTGCTCAATATCGTAGATATAGTCACCATGCAGTGTTGATTCATATGCTATCTATCTATCTATCTATCTATCTATCTATCAGTTTGTATGTGTACGTATGTATATATGTATGTAAATTCTAACATTTGGGCTTGCCACTGGTTGTCGAAGTGGTATAGTGGTCTCTCCTTAGCCCAGCATCCGGTTTATAGGGAAAGGAGAAAAGATGCCCTACCCACAGCCATTCCAGCATCCTGGCTTCCTTTCCACCTCACCCTTCCCTATTCTGACCCTAACCCACCTCGCTGCTACATTCATTGTGGTCAGGAGAACTGGGGTGGGGGTTCCACAAATCCATTTCTTCACACTTCCCACACACATACACACAGTTTTTTTTTTTTTAAAACTTTGTTAGTATATCTCTCAATTCTACTTTCCCCTGCTTTTTTGAGTTCTTGCTTTGCATACCGCTTGTGGGATTGAGACAACGACCTCGAGGACCTAGCTGTCCAAACCGAACCCTTCCGCACCGGCCTTTATCGCTGCAGACACGCGCTTACACGAACAACAACAAACGCATTCAAGATTGCATTATTAGCTTATTTAGAAAAAAAAAAATTAAAACAATCATAAAATTTTATTTCTCCGTATATATACAAACGTGAAAATCAAAAAATTTAGCAAATACATTCCTGATTATTGTCAAAAAAAAAAAAAAGAAAAGATACCCGACATTTTTTTACCAAAGTATAACACAACAACAAACCTTAACACTTACGTACTCATAACTCATAAAAAAAGTTGTTTGTTTTTAATAGAGCGTCGAAAAGCATAAAACACTTTCTTTCTGTTCGTTGTGTGTGATAATTTTACAGGCATATCTTAATATGCGTTTATAAGAAGGAAGTGCATTTTATGTGTAGCAAGACAGAGTACCCTCATGAACACACGCACCCATACATAAAATAGCTATTTTTGCCTTCTGGGTTATCATACGTAGGTATACATGTACAATATACATAGAAGGTAGATTTGCTAGAAAATAAGTTGAGAACTTCCAGTAAATGCAACTATAAATATAGTTTTGACTACTAACTAAAATAAGTATATGAAGTCTTTCTGATATATAAGCATAGATGTTTTGATTAACAAGGTGCAAAAAGACCCTTGCATCTATCTATCTATCTATCTATCTATCTATCTATCTATCTATCTATCTATCTGTCTTTATACATGCGTCTGTTAAACAATTTCATCGGTGTCCCTTTTTTTGTGTATCCCTTATTCTTTACGCAGGATACACGTCCGTGATTATCCTTGAAAGGTTTTGTTATTTTTGGACCGGTGTTGTTGTGAAATGTCACTTTGTAACAACAGTTACTTTTAATTGATTAAGAAAAATCTTTCTTTTCTTTTCCTTTTCTTCATTTTCTGAGAATTATTTTATTTATTTCGTTCTCCAGTTTTTTTTGGGTTTTTTTTCACAAACTCGATTCTACATTCAGTTGACCATAGTCAGCGTTCCTGACGTGAGAACAAAAGTACAATTAAATAAACAACCAAGTTAGGTGTTGCACGCAGACGCGTCCTGACCGAAGAGGTACAAACACCCTTCCATAATTCAGTGTCTAAGCATTCTATTAACGTGATTTTCGGTAACAAATATCAAACCGACAAGGACAAGTTGAAAAAGAAAAAAAAAAAAAAAATTACCAAGTCTTTTCATTACCTATATAGATCCTCAAGCACACGTACACACGCGCGGCGGATCGGAGTACCACGTGACTGACACAACGACGATGCATCGTGGGGAGAAATATGAACTAATGCCGTCAGAGGGCGCTACCTCACCAAGTCCAAGGTAAAACAGAACAAACAATTGTTTATATCATAAATTATATTGTATAAGCTAATGTGATATGTCATTGCAAACGAAGACGCAAGTTACTTTGCGACGTTTCACATTGCCAAATTATTATGACAGCATACGGACGTCGTCCGATGTGATTCTTTATTTTAAATGTTTACCTTTCAGGTTGCTCGTGCTCGTGTGTACCTTGGGGTACGGGTCTTGTCATCTTGTGTGTAAATATTAAAGTCTATCCGCCTAGTTGCATCAAAGTGTGCACACACGAGGCGGTATAAAATGTTCTCCCTCACAAAAATTGGTGTTTGTTAAATTGGTCAGAATTTGGGATAGTATTTAACACATACATTTTTTTTTACAGTAAGATTCATCCTGTACAAGACCCGGGAGCCCCTCGAGGTAGAGGGTTAAGTTAAGGGTCAGTTTATACGTATAGGAGGGGAAGATAACAGTTAACTCTAGACATGAACACGTTAAGATTGCAGTGATCGGGGAAGCATCTTCTTGTGAGTCGTTTCCACAGAGCAGCGGTTCGCGAGAAGAAGCTGCTTCTGTGGAACTTACTTCTCACCGATGGAATACGGAGCGAATGGGAGTGGTTTGCTACTATGTAAGTGGCATGGCGGGTCTTAGCCGTGAAGCTTAGAACTGGCGAAACCAAGGAATGTAGCGATAGAGCAGTGAGAGACTCGCCACATCCGCCTGTGAGAGAGAGGTTGGACGGTGTTAAATCGTCACCCACAAGGGCTCGGAAACGCTTTTGAACTCTATCGAAACTGGAAAGTGAGAGAACACGGCAGTTCTCTCCTAAATCGGACAACAGTACTCTCTCTCTCTCTCTCTCTCTCTCTCTCTCTATATATATATATATATATATATATATATATATATATATATATATATATATATATATAGAGAGAGAGAGAGAGAGAGAGAGAGGAGGCACGGTGGAGCAGTGGTTAGTGGCTTGGATTGAGGAATCGCAGAGCCGAGTTCGAATTCCAGTCGAATCCACTGCATATACTTACGTGCTAATACCCTTGGGAAAGGTATGTATCCTCTTCATCTCCCTCCAGCTATGGGTAAAATAGCAGGACAGACTGGGTTCTATAGCCTTGGATGGCAACTGGTCTAGGAGAAGGACAACTCTGAATTCAAAACCTGCGGAGGTCGTTTGGGAACCTTTGGCGTGCATTCGGTGCACCAGGTTTCTGTATTCGTCCCTCAAAAAGTGTGGCTGGTCCTGCACAAGGCCTTCACCACTATAAACAAATCTCATGTGCCGGTGTCGGGACGTCGGTTTCCTGGGGACTTATCGGCCTGACCCTCATACGTCGAACGCGACGGGAGAGTCGATTATATATATATATATATATAATTACTTTAAACGCTATATTTAGTAGTTACACGTGTTTTAGTACACATGCTTGTTTATTTAAACCGTGTAAATTTACATCTACTGGCCTGTGCATTCGAGAGACTTAATAAAGATGTGACTTCCGGCATTCTTTTATATATATATATATATATATATATATATATATATATATATATGACTGAATGAATTACAAACATTATATCTGCTAATTTTTAATAAAATCCGTTCATACTCACGAATAACCTTCCGTGTATTGCTGTTAAAGGATGAGAGAAATGTGCTATAGCAGTTTAAATTTCTTTTATTTTCATTTCCCAAGATCATCTTCAGGGATGCAAGTGGTACAAAACTATATGTCGTTCATTACTATTTATAGAAGGATGTGCTTTGTTATCCATTACCGTCATTTTTTTCATTATGCTTTTAAATTCGGAAGGTTATTCGTGAATATGAACGGATTTTATTAAAAATTAGCAGATATAATGTCTGTAATTTATTCAATCAGACACGTCTAAAAGATAATTTTCTGCCTAAATACACAAATGTGTGTGTATATATATATATATATATATATATATATATATATATATATATAGGTGTGAGAGTGCGTGTGATAGATAGATAGATCGATAGATAGATTGAGGACATATGAATCAATACTGCATGCTGACTATATCTACGAAATTGTTCAATATGTACGATATTGAGCACATTTCCCTCATAAGTATACCAAATTCGAAGCAATATATATGTGCGTGTGTATGTATGTGTATGTGTGTGTTTCGCAAAATGAAAAAGAAAGGGAAAGGTTAACCAGTGTATTTCTGGAAAATAACGCCTTCATGGCATGCAGTCTTTGTAATTAAAGAGATAAAACATTGATGGTAATAAAGAAAAAATATTCCTGTTTATATATATATATATATATCTTGAACATTATATATGTATATATATATATGTGTGTGTGTAAATATATGCGTGCACGTGTACATATGCGTATGCGCGTATATATCGCGAACGCACACACGCACACAGTCGAGCGAAATGGGTCAAGTACGTTTCATCTATCTAAAAGTCTGCAAAACACCTGTAGGCCTCCAGAGAGACATGCGTCTCCATAGAAGTTGAGCTTCTTTTTATTTCTTATTTTACTGAATAGATGAGGGAGCCCGCCACACACACACACACACACACACACACATATATATATATGTATGTGTGTGTATGCGTGTTTGTTTCTGAGTACTCTCAGTCTGTTTCATGCTTCAACGTAATTGCCATTCAGTTTTGATACCTATGTTCATTCATATATTTGTTTATATTTGCATACGCTCTGACTTTGATAATTCATAGTTTAAAATTTATTTATTTTTATCATATATATATATATATATATATATATATATATATATATATATATATATATATATATATATATATATATACAGGGTGCGATGGGGAAATTGTCGCCATTTTATATTTTTAATTTCGTGCATGCGCGTTGTTTGTTTTTGATTTTGTCGACTGCACGGTATAGTAGCATCAGTTGGGCACCGTCTGTGAGGAAAAAAAGAGCACCATGACACAATTCACTCCGCCAGAAATTTGGAAAGGACATGCTGCACTGCTTAGCATTCGCACCAGAAGCTCCAATACGAACATTTCAGAGTGTTTGGGTAAAGTGGATTCGGAAAGATTTGGATGAATCTAATAGTGACTCCTAAGGTATGGCAACTCGGAAAAATAACTCTGCTAAGAAAAGAACTCCTGGATTTGTTGGTGACAGCCTCAGACTCAACACAGAGGCCTACATCAAGTGGCTTCAGGAGGTAGTGTTACCTTGAGTCGAGTGAGTGACTACTGAAAGACCCTAGGTCTCCACATCATGCCACACAAGCAGGAAAACCCAATCATAGGTGTCAGACAATTTCTGCGAGCACATCACCCCTTTCATCAGGCCACCTAACTCCTCAGACTGTAACCCTCTTGATTAAACTAAACTTGGAACGCCAAAGACGAACTGAAAGCAAGGGTTATGGCAGCATTCACCAACTTAAACAAGGATACCACCCAGAATAGATGCAAGAGATTCCGAAGTTGTTTGGAGGCCGTGGTTGAAGACAATGACGATTTTATTGAATAATCTTTAGTATTTCAAGATATTTCTGTGTAATTTTGGTAAATATATCTGTTAAAATGAGTTACACTTTTGCGTAATTTAGATGAGAATTTATCCATCGCGCCCTACGTATATATATATATATATATATATATATATATATATATATATATATATATATATATATATGTGTGTGTGTGTGTGTGTGTGTGTGTGTGTGTAATTCCATTTTGCACACACACACACACATATATATATATATATATATATATATAGTAAGAAAAATTTGTCACTTAGCTTATTGATTTTACCTTCAGCATCCCGACTCCAGAGTTTCGTAGGCGGACCTATTCGTCCACTCTTCAGGGAAGTATCACCAATAATTGTTAAAACCTTATATTTGGCGGATACAAGAGTAGATATCTCTGTTAAAAAGTGTAAATTCACGTTTACCGGCCTGTGCTTTTGAGAGTTTCAATAAAGAAGATGTAGCTTCGGACAGGGTTCGAACCTGCACCCCCTTTATAAGTAAGCCGCATTTTCTTTATTGAGACTTTCCAATGCAAGATCGGGTAAATTTTAGCTGTTGGAAAAACAGGGACCTCTACTTAAACACGTGTATCCGCTAGATGTAAGGTGTAAAGTAATGAGGCGTCAAAAAAAAAAAAAAAAAAAAAGAATCAATTAATTCCTCAGAAAGTTCCTTTATATTTATATATATTGTCATCCACAGACAGTCTGTTTCGCTGTATCACAGCTCTTCAATGTGGATAGACGTCCGATTGTTTCTAGCCGGGATCATAACCCAATCGATTTGACATTAGTCAGAGATCCTACCCTAGGCCATCGTCGCACGGTAAAGAGAAAGGGAAATTTTAACGTTTTTTTTCTATACGAAATACGCCAGTGGCCCGGAGAACACAATTCAAACTTGAAGAGTAATGCATTAATAGCAGTAGG